TGAACCTGCCACCCCCGGTATATGGGGCTGGCACCCTACTCCTTGAGCCACAGGAGCTGCCCTGAGAGTTTTCACAAGTGCTATTTTTTTAAAGACCAAATTTGCTCCCTCAAAATATGGCAGCTTTAGTCTCTAAATATAAATTTTTGGTTATTAGTGAGATTAATATTTTCCCACATTCTGTTAACCAGTTGTGTTTCCTTTTTGGTACTGTGTTTCCCCGAAAATAAGACTTACCCTCAAAATAAACCCTAGCAGGATTTCTATGCATTTGTTAAATAATAAGCCCTAACCCATAATGAGACCTAGTGATGGGCGTGGCTATGCAGCGTATCTGCATAGCCACATCCTGCGTCTCGGTGGGAGCAGTAAGGAAGACTGAAATACCTTTTATCTGCCACAGCTCCTTTCTCCAAGCCGTTGGCACTTGCGCGGGTGCAGGGTGCACGTGTGGGCATGTGGTAACTGCAGTCGCAGGCATCCTGTTGCGCATGTGTGAACAGCTAGGGGAAAGGAGTTCACACATCACTAGTGCCAGCCCCACCAACAAGGTCAGCTCCCCCCCCCATCAGTTTCCAGAAGAAGGTGACTAAACTGTATTTGAATAAATGTAGATTGTTGTATTATACTTAATAAAAATAAGATATCCCCTGAAAATAAACCCTAGTGTGTCTTCTTGAGAAACAATAAATATAAGACAGTCTTATTTTTGGGGAAACACGGTATATTGCCTATGTTGGTATTTTACCTATTTATTTATTGGGGTCTTAATGTACCTTTTTTATAACTCCCCATGCTGTGGACCCTTTCTCTGTCATGGACAGCAGCCATCCGTTGTGGGTTTCCTTCTGCCAGTTTTTCATGTTTCTTTTGATTTTGGTTATGCCCCTCTTTGTCATAAAGGGAGGGTTTTTTGGGTTTTCTTTTTGTTTTCCTAACCACTCATTTACAAGGGAATGAGGGGAATTGGGAGTTTGAGTGTTTTTAAGAGCGCAGCTCTCAGCTGTTTCCTTTGTGGCTTTTCTTATTGCTGTGGAATGTTGGGTGGGAGCAAAGGCATCATCTGTCCCTTCAGGGTCTCCCACCGTGATATTCTGGCAGTCCTTTCTGCCATGAGTGCCTTTGCCCCTTCTCACGGAGGGCTTTCTGCCTGGTGTAGGAGGGAGGAGCATGTGCATGCATGTGTGTGCATGTGTGTACACGTGTGAGAGCATGCATGCGTGGTCAGGAAAGGCTCTCTGAGGAGTGTGCATGTGTGTTTCCCTGGACACTGAGTTTCTTATGACTGGGTTTGCCACGCTGCTACTAAAGTAGTAACACCGGCTCGGCGCCTATAGCTCAACCGGCTAAGGCGTCAGCCACGTACACCTAAAGGTAGCAGGCTCGAATCCACAGCCCGGACCCGCCAAACAACAATGACGGCTGCAACCAAAAAAATAGCCGGGCGTTGTGGCGGGTGCCTGTAGTCCCAGCTACTTGGGAGGCGGAGGCAGGAGACTCGCTTGAGCCCAGGAGTTGGAGGTTGCTGTGAGCTGTAATGCCACGGTACTCTACCCAGGGGGACAGCTTGAGGCTCTGTCTCAAAAAAAAAAAAGTAGTAACACTAGTGACAGTACAAATCTGCGTGAATTCTGAAGCTTACGGTGACTCCTTAGACCCCTTATTTCTCTCAGAGATGGTTCATGCTGGGTTTCCTGACTCGCAACAGTGGCAACAGGTGGCAAGGAAGGCTGAGGACTTGATAGCTGTGAGGATTGACCATCCAGATGCCCTCTCCTCATCCTCCAAGGCCTGCCATGCACACAGGGGCCCACCACCTCCTTGGAGCCAGCGGCATTTCTCCCCCATGGAGTCATGGCTTTGAGGCTGGGGAGAGTTAAGCAAGTAGGTCCTGGCCCTGTGTGACAATTGGGGCTTTTTTGGAAGATCTTGAGGGGCCCTGAGGCTGGAGGAAGTGGCCAGTCCATGCCCTGTGCTCTGTATGGTGAGTGTGGGCTCTAGGTGGGCAGGCCTGGTGGGGCCCCTGCCTTGGTCTGGGGTCCACAGCAATTCATGTACCTTGCTGAGCTTGTTTCCTTTTAAATTGGGATAATCCGTTTATTCAGCCTGTGTTTGCTGAGTGCCTACTATGCCTTGGTGCTGATCTGGGCACTGAGGTCTGATGGGGATCAAGACAGGGTCCCTGCTCCTGGGATGGATGTGGAAACCCAGGTTGTGACGGGTTATGATGGCAGCAAACACATTGAAGAGCTAGGGAGGACCCTGGGGAGGAACGTGGGGTCAGGAAAGACTCTCTGAGGAGTGACATTGAAACTGAAGCTGCAAGGGTGGGAGGAACCACTCTTGCAGAGACCCCAGGAGGTGGGAGGAGATTGGAGGCTGAGCAGGGGCAGCCACACAGCTGAGGTGGGCACCCCAGTGGGCACGCACAGCAGCCAGCGTGGCAGGGCAGTGAGGGAGGCTGGCTTGGAGCGCTTCATACAAGCTTTGGGTTTTATTCGGAGCTCCATGGCAAGGTTCTAAGGGAGAGGCAGGAAGGCTCTTGTAACCGTGTGGAGGGAGGGCTGTCAGGTGGTGTGCAGCCTGTAGTTGGTGCCATCGAGTGGGATGGGCTGGCTGAGATGGGGTGGTGGCAGCAGGTGGCGCTGCTGGTTTTCTCATGGTCACATGGCTGCTGTGCTTTGTGACTGGGAAGATGTACAGGCTACCCTGGCACTGGGCCTGGCACACTGCGTATGGCCTGTGGCTGTTCCCCTCAGTCCCCAGCTGTGGCTTTTATTGGGTGGGGACCCAAGGAGCCCTGTGTGTGACGAGCCTTTGTATTAGGAGTAAGACCTGATAGGCCGCCTATTGCCGTTACCCAGAGATGGGCCTTTCCTGGAGGGTGGGGATGATGTGTTTCCCTTTGTGAAGCAGGGAAGGGGACCCCTTGTTTAGACCCTGCTAGGCCAGCAGCATAATAGACAGCAGGGTGGCAGTGTGCTGTACACCATTCCCAGCATGTTGCTCTTGAGGCCAGGTTCCCCGCCAGGTTCCCAGCCCGCCTCCCTGCTGCGCCCCACGCTCCAGGCAGGCCAGCCACCCACTAAGCAGTGTGCGTGTGTTGTGTGGTCACTTTGTGTGGAGTGGCAGATCTGAGGACTTTGTCTGTGTGTAGCTCTGAACTTGGGTGCATCCTTTAGCCTCCTGAGAAGAGTCATTGTCCTCTGTGAAATGGGGCAATGATAATGGGGCTCCCATAGGATGTGATGAGACAGTTCACACAGCTCTATGCCGGGGTGCCACAGGCGACAGATGCTTGCTAACAAAGTGCAGCCGATGGCACTGCCATTATCATTGCTGTCACGAACACTGTCATTGTCTGGTGCTCTGGGGTCCATGGCCAGGGGACTTCATTAACCTGATGGGGGCAGGGTAGCCCAGAGGTGGCACATTGGCCTTACTGTAGCAGGTGTGGGATTTTGAGTCAAGATCCCTGCTTGTCACGGCCTCAGTTGCTTCTGTGACCTCCATAGGATGAAGAAGCAGTTGGTGTGGGCAGTCTGAGGACGTTTTAGTCTCTGTGGCCTCTGTTGGGCTCTAAGGGAGAACCACAAGGGAAACAGTTGGGGATGGAGATGAGGCAGGGTTTCACCGGGAACACCTCTGCACCTTCACTTAGTTCACAGGGCTCTGCAGTCATGAGTTGGGCACTACCCAATGCAGGTGTGTTCAGGACTGGCGTCTGTGAGTCTAGGGGTGCTGCCAGGCCCACGGGCTTGCCCGGCCTAGCCCCTTGCTGCTGAAGCCTCGTCCTCTTTTCCTCCGTGTCATTGCCCAGGTGCTCAGGAGCCAGGTAGGGTATGGAGTGGATGGGCTGCACACCGCAGGGCAGGGGCTGGTGTAGAGCCCAGGTTCTTCCTGCGTCTTTGATTGTGATGTGTGTGAGGCTGAGCAAAGGCACGTGACTCCCCTGTGGCAAGCCTCCAGGAGGAGGGGACCTGGGATAGGAGTCAGGTGACCTGGGCGAGTCCCAGCTCCTAGCTAGCCCTCAGGTTCCCCGTTGTGAAATGTAGGGGCTGGTCTAGCCCCAGAGCACCAGTACTGGTCACAGTGCCAAGTGGCCAGTAGGGCTGCAACAGTATAACATTTGAGTTGATAAGAGAGCTTGGTAGCGTGTTTTGAAATTGTGCTGGCTCTCTCCAGAAAGGGAGGAAACCCCCCCTTTTTGTTAATCCTGCTGTGTGCCCCATGGTCTCAGGTGGGCTGCATTTACCTGGAAGGAGCCTGTTGGTCACCACAGAAAGTGCCAGAGCTGGAATGGAAGCCCAGATCTTTCCAACCAAAGCCTGTGGACTTTTTCTTCTTATGCAGAAAAAGATTACAAATATTTATCATAGGGAAATAGCATTTGTAATAAAAGGAAACGTTCCTGTGAGAATCGCATGAGAATAAAGCTGTCAGGGTTCCATGGCACAGGAGGGTGGGGTGTGTGGCTGTCCCCCCTCCCCCCTCGTGAACCTCCCCTTTGTCTCTGCAGTTGTGACTGGCTGGAGGGCAGTGCTGCTTTAAGTGGATGCTGCACCATGGGGATTACCGCAGCTAGTGGGGGAGTGGGCGAGGGGGAGGGATGCTGGTGAGAGCAGTGCCTTCCTAAAGGATCTCCCCCCTCCAGAGCCTTCCCCGGCTCCCAGCCCAGACAGCCAGCCAGTGACGTCCTGTCTTGTTAGGTTTTTCCTTTTCTACTAAAGCTGCTGATTCATCTGCAGGCTGGAGTTGGGCTTGGCAGTGGGGCTGGGAGCCTGAGCTCTTGGGCTCTGCTGGGTAGAGGACCTGGGTCTCCTGGGAGGTGTCCTTGAGCCTCTCTGGGTGCTTTCTGGGTGGGGGCCAGGGTCTTTGAGGGAGAAAGGGCCCTGTCAGATTTCTGACCAGAGATGCAGGTTGAGGGGAGGCAGTAGTCAAGGTCACACAGTGGGGGCCAGGTGGCCCGTCCTTTCTGACTCTCTGGCCTCCTTCTGCAGGGTGCTTCAAGGATGACCGCATTGTCTTCTGGACTTGGATGTTCTCCACTTACTTCATGGAGAAATGGGCTCCCCGGCAGGACGACATGCTTTTCTATGTGCGCCGGAAGCTGGCATATGCTGGCAGTGAGACCAGCACTGATGGGAGGAAGGTGAGTGACCCCCTGCCCCAGCTCTCACCTGTGTCCCCCTGCTATCAGAGTGCAGGGCAAGCTCTTCTGCAGTGCTCGGGCAGGTGGGGGCTAAGCAGCATTTACCAAGCACTTGTGGTGTTCTGGGAACCATGTAGGTGGACTGTGCTGTCTGTAGGCTATGCTGGGCGTGCCTTACTCATTGTCATTCATCTCCACCATGACCCTGAAGGGCAGCAATTGTTCTCATCACTGTGGCTTTGGGGAAACTGAGGCTCAGAGGCCAGCTTTCGTGGCCAGCTTCTCTTAATTAGTAAATAAATGGGAGAGCAAAGGTTTGATGCCAGACCCCAGGACCCTTCTCTAGCCATGCCTGGTGACCTGGTTGGTAGTGGTGATAGAGATGTTGCCTTCCACTGTCACCATGCAGCAGACACAGGGCCAGGTGCTTTGCTTTTTTTTTTTCAGAAAGAGTCTCACTTGGTCACCCTCAGTAGAGTACTATGGTGTTTTAGCTCACAGCAACCTCAAACTCTTGGTCTCAAGTGATCCTTTGGCCTTAGCTTTTCAAGTAACTGGGACTACAGGTGCCTGCCACAATGCCCGGCTATATTTTAGACATGGGGTCTAGCTCTTGCTCAGACTCGTCTTGAACTCGTAAGCTCAGGCAATCTACCCACCTCAGCCTCCCAAGTGGTGGGATTATAGGCGTGAGCCAGGATCCCGGCTTCTTTGCTTCTTGATTTCATTGGAAGTCCCAGCATCTCGACAGGGATGTTGTTACCCCCCATCTACAGGTGAGGGAACTGGGGCTCAGAGATTGATTCACCTAAGGTATTTCACCCACTGAATTTAAGTGAATGGAGGCCTTAATAAAGCAAATTTTTTTTTTTTTTTTTTGAGACAGAGCCTCAAGCTGTCCCCCTGGGTAGAGTGCCATGGCATTACAGCTCACAGCAACCTCCAACTCCTGGGCTCAAGCGAGTCTCCTGCTTCCGCCTCCCAAGTAGCTGGGACCACAGGCGCCCGCCACAACGCCCGGCTATTTTTTGGTTGCAGCCGTCATTGTTGTTTGGCGGGTCCGGGCTGGGGATTCGAACCCGCCACCTTAGGTGTACGTGGCTGGCGCCTTAGCCGGTTGAGCTATAGGCACCGAGCCATAAAGCAAATTTTGTATGTTTCCTTTTCTGTTCTTCATAAGCTTTAGTAGTTTGTAAAATGTTTATACAACCCACATGCCAAACGTGGAAATGCTTTTGTTTTCCTTTAAAAATAAAAATGAGGGCAGCACCTGTGACTCAAAGGAGTAGGGCACCGGCCCCATATACTGGAGGTGGTGGGTTCATACTTGGCCCCCGTCAAAAACTGCAAAAAAAAGAAAAAAGAAAAAAAGTGAGAGGGCTGTGGAGCGAGGTCTGGAATTGCAGCTGTCCTGGGTTTAAGTCTGGTGCCCTGTGGCCTGTGACTCTGGAACTGTGCTTTGTTAGCTGTGGCTCATGCAGCAAGTACTTAGAGCCCTTTCCTTGCCAGGTTCCTGATATTTGATCCTGAACAAAGAGGGGCCTGGTGTAGCTGCAAAGGAAGCCCTGTGATATCCCTGCCAGGCTGGCCTGCCACATGTAGGTTCTGAGCCCTGAGCTAGCCTGGCTTTGGGGGGACAGGTAGAACACTGAAGACTAGCCAGAGATGTGGGAGAGTCTTAGGTGGGAGAGGTGGGCGTCTTAGCTCACAGCAACCTCAAACTCTTGGGCTCTCTACTGGCCCATGGCATCTTAGCTCACATCAACCTCAAACTCTTAGGCTCAAGTTATTCTCTTGCCTCAGCCTCCCAGGTAGGCAGGACTACAGGTGGTGGTGACCAAGTGAAAGAGGAGGGTGCCCAGGGGAGGGAGGACCTGCAGAAGTAGGTGTGGCCCACTTTGATAGCAGGGAGGGGTGGAGGCTCCAGCAGAACAATTTCAGTGGTGGGTGGGCAGACCAAGCGGTGTGCTATAGGAGGGATAAAGAGGTGGCCTGATTATAGACTTGTGAGAGCAGGGTGTTGGTGGTGGGATCTCTGAGCCCAGCACCTTCTGGAGCCCAGCTCAGGGCTCTGCATTCCCTGGCCCCCAGGCTCTCTCAGTCTCACTGTGCAACTGGGATACCAGCTTTCTAGACCAGCCTCATCTCCCCTCAATTTGCTGTATGACTTTGTCATCTCTTCTCTGGACTTTGGCCTTTGCTTCTATGTAAGGTGCTTAGGGCAGGTGCTTTGTAAGGTTGGGTGCCTACCATTGTGGACACCTGGGAGACTGGGATGGAGTTGGTGTGATCACAAGAGTGCCCTTTGGGGTGGCGCCTGTGGCTCAGTGAGAAGGGTGCCGGCCCCATATACCAAGGATGGCGAGTTCAAACCCTGCTCTGGCTGAACTGCAACAAATAAATACCTGGGTGTTGTGGTGGGTGTCTAGTCCCAGCTACTTGGGAGGCTGAGGCAATAGAATTGCCTAAGCCCAGGAGCTGGAGCTGTTGTGAGACCACGGCACTCTACTGAGGGTGATAAAGTGAAACTCTGTCTCCACAAAAAAAAAAAAAAAAGAGTGCCCTTTGTAGGAAGGTGGCTGGTGTTTAGGGATCCTCTGTGTGCCTGTGACCTCCATGGTGGGCATAGCCTCTTCAAGCCTCAGCCCAGCTCCTGCCCATGGTTCAGGAGGTTAAGGCCCTCTGTCGGGTCAAGGGTGAATAACCAGGAGGCAGCAGTGCTGTGGGCCCAGCCACTCTGGCCTGTCAGCTTCTGCAGTTTAGATTGCAGAGAATCTTTTTTGCAAAAATGTTGGTCTTTTCTCCAAGACATCTGGTTTCTCCAGACCAGAGGCTCTGATGGGGACTGGCACATCTGAGACACTTGTGACTGTACTTTGAATTTCAGGTCCAGGAGAGGTCACAGCTCTGGTCAAGAAGGGCAGGCAGAAGGGAAGGGACAGGTGGGGGAAGGAGGAATGGGCAGAAGGGGAGTTAAAGGAGAGTCTGAAGAAGGAGCATAGGATGGAGGCACCTGGAGCAGGAGGAACTGGGTAGGGTCCAAACTCTCCTGAAGATGGGGGTGGGGGGATTTAGGTCAGTGAGGGAGACCTGAGTCCCACAGGAGCATGTGGCAGTGCAGCTATTCATGTGCTGGAATGTTCCACTGGACACCCACCGTGAGCCATGAGCAGATATCCCCACTCCCCTGCCCAGCGCTGGGAGTGCAGAAATGACTCAGACCTTCATGAGCTTCCCAATCTGTTGAGACAGACAAGCAGCATGGCCAGTGGTACAGAGAGAACTCTCAGCACAGTGATGGTGGGAAGGGGAGACTGCAAAGATGACATCTGGCCATCTGCAAGTTGTAGGACAGAGGTGGCAGCAGCAGCGGACTGAGGACACTCCACGTGGAAAGACCAACACATGCGGAGCAGTGAGGCAGGTGCCATGGACAGTGTAGGCCCTGCCAGGGTGGGCTGAGGGTGCCGCGCTAGCACAGTGTTTTAGGGCTGGGTAGGGTCCTGGGGTCACCCAGCTTGGCATTTGCTGGCCGCAGTGCAGAGTATGACCTGTAGGGGGCAGGCTAGAGGCGCAAGCAGGGAGATGCCGGGTCCTGGGCCCTGCTGCTAATGCGCCTGCGTACTGCTAGTCCTCAGCAGCAAGCCACAGCTTCCTGCCTCCTCCCGCTGCTACCCGGTCGCCATAGCAACCTTCCAGGGCTTCCTGCATTCAGCAGGAGGGTGTTTGGGCAGGAGGCTGCAGTGAGGGTAGGCACAGGGTGCTAGGAGCTCTGCACTCTGCTCCAGGGCTCCAGAGACCACCTCAGGGATCCTGGCCCAGCCTGTCCTAGGGAGGGATGTCCTGATTCTCTGGGCTCTCTCTGTTCACTCCACCCCTGCATAAAACACTTAATATTTTGGGGCAGCCCATTTTGTCTTTGGCAATGAGAGGAACTGCCATCTGAATGCAGGCCTGCTCTGTGCCACTGTTACTCACATTGACACCCTCAGCATCCTCATCCCTGCTCGCAGAAAAGTAAAGCTCAGAGACAGGGAGGGACCTGCTCTGGGTCAACACTGCTTCTAAGTGGGAAGCTCTGCTCCCAGTCATGCTTGTTGTTTTATGGTAGATTTTTTTCAGTCTAACACACATACAGAAAAATGCACAAAGGGCATCCACAGCGTGCTGGTCTCTCCCAGCACAAGCACATGGCGTCACCAGCCTCCAGATCAAGAGGCAGAGTGTGGCCAGACATCCGAGGCCCCTTGACCTTCCAGCATCGCCACTTCCCCAGGGCAGCTTCTGTCCCGACTCCTCAGTCTTCCCTGGTGGGTTTGCTGGGGCCTCGTAGCTTGAGCACTGGGCTTGCTCAGGGCGTGCTCGGCTTCTGGCTTCTTTCTCCGTGTTCCTTATAGGAAAGTCATGCCTGTTAACGTGGGTAGTTGTAGCCTTCCTGGTCTCACTGCTGCATAATGTCCCACCGAGTATTCAGCACAGTTGCCCATACTTCCTCCTGTGGGCGGACACTTCCTTGGACCTGTTTTTTGGCGCACATGTGGGTAACATTTCTGATGGAAACCTGTCCTTTTGTCAGTGTCCCACAGTGCTCATCTGAAAATAGGGGTGCGATCATGTCTGTGAACTTCCCCTTCATTGCTGAGCGCAACTGTGTGCACAGCACACATGCTTCCTGCCCTTTGGGAGCTTCATTCTCTTGGAGGAGACTAAACAAGATGAGAGCAGAGAGGGATAAGAAATGGGAGGAAAATATCGCAAACAGAGCAGTGACACGAGACCAGGAGGGATGACAGTCTGTGGCACAGGGCACAAGTACTCTCAGGAGCCTGGGGAGACATTGCAGACTCGGCAGCTTCCACACCCACGGGACATTTCTTTCTCCTCCAAGGCAAGGGTAACCTCCTTCACCTCCTTCTGTGGCCCCTGGCTTGGCCCCTGGGGTGTGCTGGTGAGCCACCTCTTGGAGCCTAAGTCTCTGAGACCCTCCTGGGTCTCTGAGACCCACCACTGAAGGCCCCTAGCCAGGACAGGTTGCATTGAAACCTGCTTTTGAGTTTTCCTTGATAATTCTTCTCCCAGGAGGGGGCCACACAGGTGCTGTTTTCTCTTTGATTTGTATTCACTATGCCATCTTCAGTAAAGTTCTCATCTCTTAAAGTGGAGCTCAGAACACCTGCCTTGCAAGGTGATTATTAGAACTAAAAGCATTAATAATTTGTAAAATGGGCAGCACCTGTGGCTCAGTGAGTAGGGTGCCAGCCCCATATACCGAGCGTAGGTTCAAACTCAACCCCGGCCAAACTGCAACAAAAAAATATCTGGGCATTGTGGCGGGTGCCTGTAGTCCCAGCTACTTGGGAGGCTTTGGCAAGAGAATCACCTAAGCCCAGGAGTTAGAGGTTGCTGTGAGCTATAACTCAACAGCACTCTATGGAGGGCTATAAGTGAAATTCTGCTCTATAATAAAATATAATAATAATAATTTGTAAAATGTTTAGCCCAGACCCTACTGCCCACCATGAACTCAATAGATATCACTCTCTCTTTTTTTTTGAGACAGTCTTAAGCCGTCCCTCTGGGTAGAGTGCCATGGCGACATCATACCTAATAGCAACCTCAAACTCTTGGGCTCAAGCAATCCTCTTGCCTCAGTTTTTTGTATTTTTAGTAGAGATGAGGTCTCACTCTGGCTCAGGCTGGTCTTGAACCCATGAGCTCAAGCAATCCACCCACCTCGGCCTCCCAAAGTCCGGGGATTATAGGTGTGAGCCACTGTGCCCGGCCCCGGTCCATCTTAGTGCCTGCCCAGAGCAGCAGTCTAAGCAGGAAGAGCACCAGAGGCCACAGCATGCCCTGGATGCCCACTTCTGCCCTGGGCCTCACAGGTGGCTGAGGCTGAACCTGAGGTGGAAGTGGAGGTGTACCGGCGGGACTCCAAGAAGCTGCCAGGCCTGGGAGACCCTGACATTGACTGGGAGGAGAGCGTTTGCCTGAACCTCATCCTGCAGAAGGTATGGGTGGGGGCGAGGGAGGGGCAGTCAGATGGGCTCTGAGGGACAGCAGACCCCTCCCCGCACAGTGACCTGTGCTGTCTTCCAGCTGGACTACATGGTGACCTGTGCGGTGTGCACACGCACTGACAGTGGCGACATCCACATCCACAGGAAGAAGTCCCAGGTGAGCCCTGGGGGCAGGTTGCTCTGTGTGGGGGGCGACGAGTCCTCCTGCTTATTTCCCCGCCCCCGAGGTGGGGGTTCTGACTCCAGAAATCTACCCAGTTCTCGGGTTCCTGTGTCTGTGTGAGGAGCACAGAACCAACCCATCCCAAACCGCAGCTCCAGGGCAGCTCTCTGGCTTTGGATTGGCTCTGGGCAGTGTGGCCACAGTGGCCTATCCTTGGAGCAGCTCTGGCCTGCATGCAGGTTGGGGCCTCACTCAGCCTTTCCATCACCTTTCTTTCAGCAAGTATTTGCATCACCCAGTAAGCACCCCATGGACAGCAAAGGGGAGGAGTCCAAGATCAGCTACCCCAACATCTTCTTCATGATCGACAGCTTCGAGGAGGTGAGCGCATGCCGCTGGCTGCTTCTCCCCCTAGTGCCCCAGTCAGGAGACAGATTGCATATCTCCCCTTGAGCCTTATACCCTTTCAAGAAGGCGTTGGCCACTGGGAGCCAGGAAGGGTGTGGACAGGTATAGACATGGCTCTCAGTTTTCCCAGTGTTTGATTTGGGCAGGTGAAGTTCACTCCTCTCTGGGCCTCAGTTTCCTCCTCTGTAAAGTGACCATCGTCCTTATCTGTCAGAGTTGAACATCAAAAGATGCTTTGAAGGGAGAATGCTCGTAAACCTCACAAAAGTGCTGCCTGGCAGGAGGGATCATCACTGTCACTATTAAGCTGTAACAGATGCCTCCACACCTGCCTGTACCACGTAGAATCCAGAGTGTCAGAGAAATTATCTGGGCCAAGGTTTTATTCTAAGGTTGGGAGACCAGGGCAGGCAGAACATGACCTGCCAGGGAAAGATGGGGGCAGGCGTGGGTGGGGAGCCAGCCACATCTCACTCCCTGCATGACTGTTCCCACATTGGGGCCTTGGTGCGAGTCCTTGGAGGCATGCAGAGGCACTCAGCACCCCAGGGGGGACTTGGGAGGAAGGTGACATTGTCTTGCAGGTACTCTGCTGGGTTTGACAGTACCTGGAAGCATCTGAGGCTCCGGGAGGTCATATTCCCTTCCCAGGCTCACGTAGTTTGCTCATGGCAGAGCTGAGATTTATCTTTGCGACCTTGGAGTTCACAGCCCATACTACTCCAGGAGCACAGGGTGGTATTGTATCTGTCTTATGACACCTGAGTCTGAGTGTTATCCTCTTGGGCAGGAGGCCACCCTGTCAGGGCCACTGAGCCTGGAGCAAAGTGCAGGACAGGATGGGGTGAGTGGGATATGCAGGCACCCCGGGCATTGTGAAGGAGGTCTAGAATGTGGGTCAGCAGTCCTGGCAAACTATCCTACTCCTTGGCATAGGGAAGCATGAGGATGGATGTCCTCCCCAACGCCCAGTGAGGGCACATCTCTGCCAGTCCCAGACTCACTGTCAGGACCCAGCCCGTAGGGACACTCCTGTCTTGTCAAGTTTGGAGGCAGTAGAGCCACTGAGAATGGGGTTCTGAGCAGTCCTCCCTGCAGCTGAGCCAGGCCATGCTGCAGGTGGCAGGAACTGACAGTCCTGTCCCCTGCTCCTCTGTGCACCCATCCAGGTGTTCAGCGACATGACTGTGGGGGAAGGAGAGATGGTCTGTGTGGAACTGGTGGCCAGTGACAAAACCAACATGTTTCAAGGGGTCATCTTCCAGGGCTCCATCCGCTATGAGGCACTCAAGAAGGTGTATGACAACCGGGTGAGTGCAGGGCGTCCCCCAGGAGCTCTCCCTGGCCTGCTCCTCCTGTGGGGCATACCTGGCTGCTTCTGCACTGTGGCTGCTCCCTCAGGGCACTGGTGGCCCCTCTAGACTCCTGGGTGCCCCATGGCCACATTAGGTCCCTTCTGCACAGGCTGCCTCAGCTCACTTGGGTCACCCACCTTTATCTGAAACATGAGTGGAGACATCCTCCTCAGTCTGCATTTCTTTGAGGTGGCAGCTAGTGGCACAGTGACACTCTCACTGCTAGGAGTCACTTGCTTGCTCTTGATGGGCTCTGGGAACAGTCTGGAAACTGGAAACTGACTGCCTGTGCTGCAAGATGGCAGGACCCTCTCCTGTGGCTGGGGCCACCTGGAGCAAGGCTGTCTGTAAGCCTGGCTTGTCCCCACCTGGAGCTGGGCCTGGCTGTGGGCAGAGTCATGGGGCAGTGAGCAAGGCATCAGGTGGGGCTGGAATACATTCCAGCTGCCCCCTGCTCCCTGCCAGTGTGGGAGGGCCGATGCTTCCAATCTCTCCCTCATGGCCAGCCCTCAGGGATTGCTCCTTGATGGTCCCCCTGGCTGTTTGCACCCAAGGGAGAGGCCCCATTGAGCCACCTCCACCCACTTCACCTCAGACCATCTCCTGCAGGTGAGCGTGGCTGCCCGCATGGCCCAGAAGATGTCATTTGGCTTCTACAAATACAACAACATGGAGTTTGTGCGCATGAAGGGGCCACAGGGCAAGGGCCATGCTGAGATGGCCGTCAGCCGAGTGTCCACAGGTGACACGTCCCCCTGTGGGACCGAGGAGGACTCCAGCCCAGCGTCGCCCATGCATGAGCGGGTAAGGGCTGTGCAGCTGTGGGCAGGGCGTCCTGTGACTCGGATCCACTCCCACCGCCCCCCTCATCCTTACAGCCTGGTGAGGTAGGTCTCACCACCCAACCCCAGGGAGGAGGCCAAGGGGCTGTGCCTTGCCCAACGTCACTCACACAGCAGGACAGTGCCAGGTCTAGAGATTTTTCTACTTCTTGAGCTGCCGTACCAGCCATGTGGAGCCACACAGGCAGTGGGCAGAGGGCACTGACTGGGGACCCAGGCTGGCCCTGGAATCTGCCTCAGTGGCCCTACTTGGTGAGCATGGCATGTGGCTACCCTTCCCTAGTGAGTCAGATGGGGTCGATGATGACAGGAGAGTAGCTGGGCCAGGTAGGGGCCCTGGGACCACCTGGCTGGATTGTCCAGGAGGTGGTGGTGCCTCCCCATGCAGCATCCCATGGGGAGCATGTGTGTTCCTGCTTCACAGACCTGGGAGCCAGGCCTGTGCTACCTCAGACCACGGGCTCTGAGGGACAGAACTGGACTTTGAGCCCTGTTCTTTCTAGGCCACCACCCTTTCCTGGGGCGAGAGGTTGAGGTCGGTTGTCAGCTTTATTCCTGGAAGCCTTTTGCGGGGGCAGAGGAGGGGGGGACAAGTTTTGTAGGCCCTGGAGCATAGGCAGGGAAAGTCTCTAGCCTGCAGCTGTTTTGCTCTGGGACAGCTCAGAGTAGTGTAGGTCAGGGGCAGCTGGAGGAGGACAGGTAAGTTAATGCACCTGGGTCTGGAGGCACCCTTGCCCAGCCCTGTCTAGGAGGGACATCCACGGGCTGGAATCCTGCTCTGCTGCTCTCGTGGCCTTGGACGTATCTCTTTTCCTGAGTCTCAGTTTTCTCATCCAGAAATGAGGGATGAAAACACCTGCTTCCTGAGGAGTCAGGAGGCCCTAGAGAGCCTCTGCACACAGCGCCTGCGTGGGGCCTGGCCCGCAGGAGTAGTTCCCAAGTAGCAACCATTGTAGTCACCATTTGCTATAGCTCTACTTAGAAAACTGACTCTTGGGACTGTTAATGTGCATAACTGCTACAGTGCCTGAGATGAGGGAGAGGGCATTTGTTACGCTCACAGTTCTGTGCACATCTCCAGGTGGGCACATGTTAGTTGTCTTGCTCTTCTTCATATGTGTGTACCTGTTTTTCCTTTAATATCTTCTGCAATCAGTGTGTTTTATGAGCCAAACAAAAACAGTAAGTGCTATTTTTTATGAAGATGGGTGAGAATTCTAGGCAGGGGGTCTCTTGTCTTTGGAATGAGGTAGTTTATATTTCTGAGCTTATTTCTGGGATAAGGGGCCTAATTCTTCCCCTAATCCTAAATTTCCCCCTGGGACTCTGACGGGACGTGTGTGGGAAAGGCCTTGTGCATATGTGAACTGGGCTCTGGGCTAGACAAACTTGGGTGCTTTCAAGTGTGGCTGGCACACCCAAGACAAACTTGGGTGTGTCCAGCCACAAGGTGTTTGCTGAGTGACTGTTAGATACTAGACCTGCCTGTGCCTTGATCTTCTCATCTGTCCAGTAGGTGTAGCTTCGAAGGGTGTGAAAGCCTCTGGCTCCTAGTAGTAGGGAGGCCTTGGGGTTGAGGGGAGAGATTTGCTAGGGTCATTCAGTGTTAGTGGCAGGGCCAGTCCCTGGGGACTGCCACCTGTGTGCTCACTGTTACTTGTCTCCTTTTCCAGAGGGATCATTTGTAACCAGTGCATGAGAAATGCAGATTCTGTGTATTGTGGTTTCTGGTGTCTTATTTTTATCTTTTGAAAACTTTCCCTGGCTTGTGGGAGGACCGTCTGGAGCCCTGCAGCCGCCGGGACTTTGGTGGATGTCGGAGCCGTGATGAGGAGGCCGATGGGGCCTGGAAGTCTCGGTCCCAGCTCATCTGCTCCGCAGATTCTTGTTTGCATGGGGAGGAGGGAGGAGATGGGCCAAGTTCCCTCTGCCTGGAACGCCCTTCCCCCCCTTCTTCACCTGGCGAACTCCTACTCGTCCTTCAAGACCCAGCTCCAGCGGCATCTCCTCCAGGAAGCCTTCCCTGATTTCCCTTTGCCTCTGTGCTCCGTGTATCCTGTGCTCCCCTTTCTCTGTCTCAGCAGCCAGCACACTGTCTGTAGTTGTCACTTCCTGAGTCTGTTATCCCTAGCAGACTGTGAGCCCCTTGAGGGCAGGGCCCAGTGTCGTGTGCTTGTCCATCCAAATTGCTGTGCCTACCCAGACCCAAGCAGGTGTGGATGTTTAGTGAACAGAGCCAGATACAATGGAAAGGAGGAGAAGGGATAACCGAGGCACAGAGCTGCTGAGCATGGTGCTTCCCGTGAAGGATGCGGGCCACAAAGGGTGGGGACATTTTAGCCAAGAAAAGTCAGGGGGAGGAGCATGGCCTCAGGAGACCAGAGAGCTAGGTTACATGCCCAGTTTTGCCACCACCCTGCTGGGTGACCTTAGGCAAGTGAAGGTCACGTCCCTTTCTTAGCTTCCTCATTTGTCAGATGGGGCCAATCCCAGCCCCATCTAATGGGATGGGAGAGGGGCTGGTGATCTCTGGTGTAGATAAGTGTTGGTCAGCGGCAGCCACTGCTGTTACTTTGTGCTTGAACAACCCCTCACCTGCTTGTGAGGCCTGGAAGGAGGGTACCCCTACAGTTTCTGGTGGCAGCCTGGCTCCTCTGTGGGCAGTGCTGGTGGCCAGATGATTTGCTGGTCCCTGAGATGAAACACATCTCCTAGTTTGGGGCCATGAACACAGCTGAGGTCTGCTCCGGGAGCCATGTGTCAGAGAAATTAGAGCAAGGGGATGGGTGGGCTTTGGGACTCCTGGTGGGCTGCTCCTGCTGCTCTTGTGACTTTAGCTCTTTGTTCCAGGTGACCTCCTTCAGCACTCCCCCTACCCCGGAGCGGAACAACCGACCGGCCTTCTTCTCCCCATCCCTAAAGAGGAAGGTCCCCCGGAACCGGATTGCTGAGATGAAGAAGTCTCATTCAGCCAATGACAGCGAGGAGTTCTTCCGAGAGGACGATGGTGGAGGTGACCCTGGGGCCTGCCTGCCGCCCTGCCCTCAGTCTTCTCTTGATCTAGATTAGTCATTCATTCATTCATTCGTTTGTTCACTTAGCAACTTTTAGAGAGCCTGGGTGCCATATTCTAGGAACTGGGGACAGAGCTGAAGATGGACACACAGAAATCCTGGTGTCTTTCCCTAGCAGAGTTTGTGCACAATTTCAGGGGTTCCTAGATTTTCTGAAGACCTTGACTTGCTTAATTAAGAAGGGCTTGAGCTGGGAGTGGTAGCACATGCCTATAATCCCAATTGTTCAGGAGGCTACATTGGGAAGATAGCTTGAGCCCAAGATTTGAGACCAGCCTGGGCAGCACAGCAAGAGCCTATCTTTGAAGGGACTGGTTTGATGGTCTGACTGCTGCACACACAGTGGTGGGGCTCTTATCAGATGCTACTGTTGTTACTGCTGCTTCTCCATGGTGTCTGAGGCCAGCTCGTCCTTGGGGTTTTCCTAGTCCTGGCTCTCCTGGTTCTGTGCAGCCTTCTTGGGGCCAGGCCACCCTCCAATGACAGGGTCACCATTGTGTGGCCTTGCCAGACCCCCGCCCAGTGGCCTCAAGACGGCTGTTGCAGCCTCACCACCTCCTCTCTCCCCTGGCCTGTGCCTTCTCACTGTCCTCAGTGATTGGTGCCATCAGCAAGTTGTGCAGCCAGAAAACAGGAGTCATGTTTGGGCTGTAGAGCCCAGGGAGGCCACTGGAGGGTTTTGAGCACGCGATTGACAAAAATCAGATTTGAGGGCTCAGAATATCACCATGTGGAAAACGGCTATGGAGGCCAGGGATGGGCTTTAAAGACAAGTTGGGAGGTTCTGGCAAGCTCTGTGCTGGCAAGGACCATGAGCCTGGCTCACAGTTGTCATTGGGACTGGCTGGTACCTGTGCGTGTTTACTGGGTATGCAGAGTGAAGGATTTGGTGACAGCACCATGCTGGGGCTGTAGGGAGAGATGGCAGTATTTATCCTGGCTTCTGAGGCCAAGCAGCAGTGGCCTGATGGGTCAAGGCTCTAACCAGGGCCATGAGACTCCAGCATTGTCCTTGACTGCTTTTGTGTGACCCTGGACAAGCCCCTTACCCACTTTGGCTCTTCCAAATCAGAAGGAAAGTGCTAATAACCAGCACAGCCTGCCCATGGGCAGATTCCCCCAACCTGGACCACAGGATGGGGTGATGGGCTAGGTCAGCCCAGATTTGCCGCCCCCATGTCCCAAAGTGCTGGTGCCTAATTCCAGTGACAAACAGGGCACTGGGAAGCAGAGACATTACACACCATGGTCATGGTGCCAGATCTTACTAGGGGGACTGAGCTTAAGACAGAGAAGGGGGCAAGGGCTTCTACCACGGAGGGCAGGAGAGAGGTGTCACAGGTAGGATAGCCACTCTGGGGCATATGGGTGTCAGTGTGGGGGTGGGTGGGGAAGGGGTACCCAGGCCCTGACCTGGCTTTCTCTCCACCAGCGGATCTGCACAACGCCACCAACCTGCGTTCTCGGTCCCTGTCCGGCACTGGAAGGTCACTGGTGGGGTCCTGGCTGAAGCTGAACAGAGCGGATGGGAATTTCCTTCTCTATGCACACTTAACCTACGTCACTTTGCCGCTGCATCGGATTTTAACAGGTAATGTGGGTTGGTGTGGAAAAATAGCAGCACCCCTTGTAGCCAGCTCTGACTCTTGGCCCTTGGGCTCCTGAGGGCCACCCGCAGGGCTGTCTGACCCTGTCCTGTTAATTCAGGAGAGGAGCTTGCAAGTTGGGTTTCTGTGTAAGGGTCTCAGCTCCTGTCTCAGTCTTGGGCAGGACTGGAGCTCTTCAGAGCTGAAGGCCTCCCTTTGTGCGCCTTTGTGGTGCACCCTGTCATCCCCTCTTGAGTGGCCATAGACCCTGGCGTGTGTCATGCATAGGGGAGGTGAGGCTCGGCTCTCAGGGTGCAGTGTGTAGCTGCTGTAGGCCCATTTCCCAGTCTGGAAGGTCCAGGTGGCAGGGTGGCCTCTGCAGGCTATGAGGCCGGGGAGGAAGTGTGAGCTGCCCAGCGGGCTTCCTCCATGTGGCACTGCAGTGGTGGGTGCATGGCTGTGTTGAGCTTCCCTGTTATGTCTGCTTCCCTCCCTTGGGCCCTAGACATCCTGGAAGTACGGCAGAAGCCCATCCTGATGACCTAGCCGTGTGCGGAGCCCGTGTGGAGCCCCGGCCCTCCCCGGCTCTGGGAGTGCTGCCAAGTGCCTACCCGTCCACCGCCACCGGGGTCTCTGTGACAAGCTGGAGCCGCAGCCAGGCGGGGCCACTCACCTCCCGGGGTAGGGCCGACTCCTGAACACCAGCCCAAACTGAAGTGCCTCTTTCTGCCCTGTGCTGGCTCTGCCCTGCCTCTGCCCATGTGCCCGGCGCCCCAGTCCACCTCTAGAGAGCCCTCTGCACCCAAAAGGGAACAGAGGCGCCAAGAGGCAGTAAGAAATCGTGTAAGGGGGCAGTGAGTGCCCAGAGGGGGCCTGACCTCCTGCCGTGGTGTTCACATCTGACAGCAGGGGAGACCACCCGGCGGGGGCATGCAGCATGTCAAACCGTCAACTCTTTGTTAAGGAAAACCAATTTCAGATTTTGTAACACCATACTGATGAACTTCAGCATCCCAGTCAGCCCCAGCTCATCCTCCCCTAGTTATCACTTTGATCTGCTAGGTCACTGCAGGGAGATGGGGAACCCAAGACGTGTGATGGCTTCACCTTGGGCTGGGAGTGCCTCACCCATGCCCAGTTCCAGGAAGGCCTTGAGCTGAGCAGACAGGCCCCGATCCTGCCAGAATGGCCTTTTGCTTCCAGCCAAAGAACACGCCAACATACACACCTCTAACTGGAGATACCCCACTCTGGGCCTTGGGTGGTGTGACCCGCAGAATTTGGATTCTGAGGGCAGGTGGGGGGGCTTGGTAGCCAGGCAGGAGAACAGGATTTCTACCAAAGGGTGTCTGATGGTGGGTGGGTTGGGGTTGACGTCCTCCCAGGAAGGTCTACGTAGAACTCCCATCTCCTGGGGGCTGAGGGAGAGAAGGGCATGTCACTTCATCTTCCCTGGTTTCCTAAACCTTATTTCCTTTGACTGCGCGTGCTGTGCCATTTCTAAGATCAGCTCACGGAGCCAAGAGGAGTGGCCCAGATAGCTCACATGAGGCCGCTCTCAGTGGTTCTTGGGAGTAGCCACCCAGCGTAGGCCTGTCTGCGGCCTGTGACAGCATGAAGGAGTTTCCATCTGCAATGACCGTCACTTTGCTACTTTGCTCTCCTCGGGCAGAGGCACCTCCTGCCCAACTGGGAATAAACTGGAAGCTGGGTCTCTTTGTTGCTATGGGTTTTGTTTGTTTGAAGTCCCCAGGAGTATTTGAGGGGTTCCAGTGAGGAATTTAGAGATCTTTGTGGGGCAAAAGGAGGAGGAGGGCTCACGTTCCTATCTGTGTTCATTCTGCGGGCTCCGGAAACGGGACTACTTTGGGGCTTTCTCCAGATTTTGTATATTGTTATTAAAAGCGAGCTATTGCATTTCATTCTGCCTTGGTTTGCCCACCCGTAAAATGGGGCTGATACCACCTACCTCACTGACATCTCCAGGGTTCAAGTACATGACTGGGTCAGGGTGTGATCCCAGTCATTCTGCATAGTTTGGGTCAGGTGTTAGACTATGGGGATGCTCACCCCCGACTCTGCCTTCCATAATAACCTAGTCTAGGCTGATGTGGGGGGGAGGGGTCCTGAACACTCTCACATTCTCCAGCAGTGTCCAGCTCAGGCTTGAGCTGTGTCCCAGTGCTGCATAATTTCATGGACAAAGCCTCAGGGAGCCCTGAGTGTGGCCCAGCCTTCAGGTTATCATTCTCGTGTTCTCCAGGGGTGCCAAGCACTGTTCCCAAGATAGTGTCCATGTGGCTGAAATATACCTGTTACTTCAGGAACTTTTTTCTCCTGCTCATTCTGGGGTCTAACAACTCTTGAACTCAATCTTGGGAGAAATATAGTCCCCGTGTAGGAGGGGGCAGTGCAGGATGTGCAGCCACACCACCCTCTGTCCTTTGCAGTGAGGGGCACTTCCCTGGGGCCAGAGCTTGGCCAAGCTCCGAAGCTCTGCCGGCACCCCCAGCTGGGCCCCTGGCACGTCAGGCTGCTTTTCTGTAAGGTGGTGCACCCCACCCGCCCGTGACTCTGAGGACCAGTGTCAGCAGTGTGTGAAGGTGCTGTCTGACTGTAGAGGCGGGTTTGTACGAGTGGTGGTATCTGTATAGCACATAAGTAGAGGACACATGGTTTGGCCGTTTTATATCCAACACATGGCACCTTCCTTCTAAGCAGGTGTTACTGTGGTTCCCATCTTACAGATGAGGAAACCACCAGAGAAGTTAAGGGAGCTGCCTAAACTGAAAAGCAAGTTAAGGACGGCAGGAGTCAAACTCAGGCGTCCAGCCCCAGTCTGCATTCTGAACCACGTGTGCTGCCCAGACAGATGGACAGACATTTGGTGGAGAATACCTGTCACAGTCTTTAAATCCTGAGGCCAAACTTAAAACATGCTCAGAGGCACTTGATAACTAGACAGTAAGATATTACTCAGGTTGGTTTTATTGTAAGTAACAAATGACATCAGGAACAAAGAGAGTGAACAGGTGACAGGGCCAGAACCAGGATTTCCAAAGTCCTGGTGTTGATACATTTTTTCCTCCTAGGCCTCTTTAGTTTTTCTGGGAACATGCCTGCCTCGAGTAGTATGGGGCAGACCAAAGCATACATACATGTCTTACAGGGGAATTGGGATTAAAGTATACTTATCCTTTGAGGAAACCTGGAGTCATTTTTTTAGGACATTAAGAAGAAAGTTACGGGGTTTTCTTTCTTCTGAAGAAATGTCATGGGCCTAGATTCTGACAGTGACCTATTGTCTCCATTTACACACAGCTCTTCAGCACCTGCAGGCTCAGGTGGCCTCCAGCTCACATCCTGTCGTCCTACTGGAACTGCTAGTTGCCTACAAAAACAGGCAGGGCTCATTACTTCAAAAGAGTATTATGTAAAATAGAAGTAACAGAAGTCATGGAAGGAGAAAAAAAAGAAGCAAAATATTCTAAAGCAAAGTCAACTTGGACGTAGGCTGGGATTTCTCATGAGTCAAGTCATCGTTAACATTTAGGCTTTTTAAAGACCGTGAACAAATCATCAGGTTTCTTTCTGTAGGGAGCAGTGATAGTGAGACAGACATCAAGGCATGTTCCTGACCCTGGACTCAAACCAGGATCTATTTTTGCTGTTTTAATTACAGACTAGTTAGAAGACTTGAAGAATGAAGTAGTAACTTTTTTCCATTAAAATACATTCCAGAGGAAGTCTCTATGCAATTGGTATACTCTAGCCCAACAGTTCTCAACCTATGGGTCACGACCCCTTTGGGGGTTGAACGACCCTTTCCCCTTTCACAGGGGTTGCCTAAGACCATTGGCAAACACATATTTCTGATGGTCTTAGGAACCGAGACACCACTCATGTGTGGGGATCACCACAAAATGAGGAACTGTATTAAAGGGTTGCAGCATTAGGAAGGTTGAGAACCACTGCTCTAGACTAACTTGAAAAATATATATTTTACAGTGTCATAATATGGTGGCTTTAAATTGTCGGCCAGAATTCTTTGAAAGGCTTGTAAAATCTGCCAACTTTTTTTTTTTTTTTTCTTTTTTGAGACAGAGCCTCAAGCTGTCCCCCTGGGTAGAGTGCCGTGGCACTACAGCTCACAGCAACCTCCAACTCCTGGGCTCAAGCGAGTCTCCTGCTTCCGCCTCCCAAGTAGCTGGGACCACAGGCGCCCGCCACAACGCCCGGCCATTTTTTGGTTGCAGCCGTCATTGTTGTTTGGCGGGTCCGGGCTGGGGACTCGAACCTGCCACTGGCTGGCGCCTCAGCCGGTTGAGCCACAGGCGCCGAGCCAAAATCTGCCAACTTTTAAATGAACTGAATAGATTTCATTCTGATACTTCTCTGTTTTCCAGTGTAGCTAGAATTTGGTTTCATATCCAGCTTCAAAACCTAAGTACTTCTGACATTATGCTGACTCTGAGGGATATGGAAGTGCAGGTGCCCCTGAGCTTGAACATAGACTTGGAGCCAAGCAGGGGTCGGACCTCCGGGTACTCTGTCCTTTTTTTACTTCTCACTGACTGACTTCATGCTGATGTGATGCTTGGTGGAGCAGGGAGCCCTTTCTCTGAGCCCCTGCAACAAATGCCTACTGCACCCCTCCTTGGACCACACAGAAGCCAGGTGACTTGACAGAAGTGGCTGGGTTCAGAACACACAGCAGTTGGAGCCTCAGGCGAGGAAGCCACAGCTGTGTGGGAACATCTTATGTTTACAGGTTTCTAAGATTCCCAGGGAAGCCAGGCATGTTTATTGTTATATCCAGTCCTTGGGCTCAGTGACCCTCAGACTCTGCTGGGCTGTTTGAAGCTTCTGTCTTCTGTTATCCTTTAGTCCCTCACTTTATGGTCAGGCAGTTTAGGTGCAGATAGATACCTTTGGTTTCCAAAGGAGGTGTTTGAGAGTAATTAAATCGCAGTGAAGACGTGTTGAGATATTTCACCATTTTGAAACTTAACTCAAAATATATTTTAGCAAAACCACCCTGGTGGCATTCATTGAATATATTACAATAGTATGCTAATTGTCAGTGATATTTCCATAAATATCAGTAGTTTCCTGATTATCAAGTTTCTTTCACACCTAGTAGAAATCATTTCTAGGCAGTATTTGTGGTTGGCTGTTAGCTTTGCTTTGATTTCATGTTTCTTCTGAAAGTTGATTTGCATGTTAGATATTTAAATTTAATTTTCTTCTGTGTTTTCCTCTAATGAATCTGAACCTCTTTTTTTTCTGTAGTAGGCATTTCAGGTTAAATACATGTGTGCACATTACAGCAAAGTGATAACTAAGTGATTGAACCTTATAACTTGCCCCCAACGATTCCTTAATTTTGAGCTTTCACACAGGCAACTTTCTAGAACTGGGTTATGTCAGAGGCTTCACTCTGGCTTTGACAGCTATGAGCAGTGAGGGGGCTGATGGGTGGGTGACTTCAGCTTGGCCAGAGATACAATATTTGCAAAATGAAATCATACGATGTGTTTAGGTTTAGCTTTCAGCCTCTAAGTAATGTGTCCTCTCATTTGTACTATGAAGTTTTCCAAGCTTTTTCTAGAGAACCTTTTAAAAACCCTAACAGAAGTAGAGAAGGACCTGGAATAGAATCCAGGAGTTCCAAGTTCAGGTTTTGGTGGCTCTCCAAGAAGCTGCCTGGTCTTCTGGAAGATGAGGGTTCTCGCAGCTAGGTGGTAGGATGTGGAACGCGCCCGTATGTCCTACTTTCTGGATCCCTTCCTCAGCCTGCTGTTGCTGGTTCATCAGCGGCAAGGGCAGCCTCAGAGTCGCTGTTCATACAGTGGGCTTTTTCTTTCTGTGGGCAGGTGGACGTGTTATGTCACACAGGTGATGGGTGGAAGGCCTAAGACCTAGAGTTAGTTTCTCTGCCCCATGAGGGCAGAGAAGGAACATGTGGACACATTCAGGAATGTAGTAAGGGACTTCACACCAATGACATTTTTGGAAATAGTCCCTTCCTTAGAAACACCATCATTTCCTGACCCAGCATCCCCGAGGGCAGCCTGTGCAGGATGGCGGTTAGGAAGGCAGTGGTTTAGCAGGTAAACAGGTGATTCCTTGCCATATAGATCAAACATTCTTCTTGTTAAATAATTGGGAAGTCCATTTAAAAGTCACCTGAAAAACGTGTAATAGATATTTGGGGAGAAAGGCTCTATTTTGGAAGCTACCTGCAATAAATTTATTCCTATTCACTGCCTATTCTTGAAGGCCATTCTTGCTATTTCAGTTCTTACACAAACTTTTAGGAACTACTATCATGCCCTAGCTTAGAAAACAAAAATGATGGCTGGAAAGGAAAACCTTTGGGAATCTATTCCTGGAAGGAAAGAAATGTACAATAACTCAGAACATACGCTGACATAGTTCACTGTAAATATACCTGTCGACTTTGAAACATGCTGAATTTTGTGCTTGATTGTTAAATTGACAAGAATAGCTGGAAAATTTACATGAGGAAGGGAAAATACCTGTTTCTGGTGTTAAAAGAAAGGATCGTGTTGTTTTTTCCTTACAGCTTCTTGAGTCACCTCCTGACTTAGCCTCTGCATAAACCAGGTTGACAAGCTATTTTAAGAATATTCTTGGAATCTGACTTTAATAAAAAACAATTAGGTTGCTCAGTTTGAAATAACCATGGTTTTTAGTGAACTTGAATGATTATATTTTGAATAAACAATTTTGCTCAAAAGATTTTAGCCAATTCCAGAAACCAACTAAGTTTAGTCATTTAATGGGCACACATAAACCTCAAAGCGCAGAGTGGAGCCTTAGACACATTACCTACACCTGGGCCTCCTCAAGTGTTAGTGGCACTTAGCTTCTTTGGATGCAGTGATGTTGAAGCGAGATGAAGTTATGTACAACACAGGTCCTGGCAACTGTGATAATCACTGCTGTTTCTGCCTGAAATGTCAAAGTCCTGGGGAGCACGTGTGCTGGGGGTTCTCCAGCCTGAGCATCCATCGGGATCACCTGTTCAAACCCAGACAGCTGGTGATGAAATACTTTGAAATCAGGAAGTGATGATTGTGAAACTCTGAATATACTAAGGGCTACCAAATTGTATTCTTTGGAAGTGTGAAATTTATTTGAACTCTTTTATCTTTTAAAAAAAGACTTGAGACCCAAACAGAGTTTTTTTTTTTGTAGACAAAGCCTCAAGCTATCCCCTTGGGTAGAGTGCTGTGGCATCACAGCTCACAGCAACCTCCAACTCCTGGGCTCAAGCGAGTCTCCTGCCTCAGCCTCCCAAGCAGCCACAATGCCCGGCTATTTTTTGGTTGCCATCATTGCTGTTTTTGGCAGGCCCGAGCTGGATTCGAACCCGCCACTTTAGGTGTGTGTGGCTGGCGCCTTAGCCACTTGAGCCACAGGCACTGAGCCCCAACCAGAGGTTCTGGCTGCAGGCCCAAGGGTTTGCATTTTCAGTACAGTAAGCTCGTAGGCATGGCTGTGTGGCTGCTCCTGGGCCCAGCCAGGTAGCTGAGAACCTGCAGCAGGGCTGGTGTGGTTCAGGAACAGCCTTGTTCTTCAGATTAGCAAGTTTTTTTTTCTTGAGATAAGTCTATGTCACCCTCAGTAGTGCTATGGCGAGTGCTGTGATGTCACAGCTCACAGCAACCTCAAACTCTTGGGCTTAAGCGATTCTCTTGTCTCAGCCTCCCAAGTAGCTAGGACTATAGGCACCATGCTTTTATTGTCATTTAAATAGTTTCTACTGGATGTTAATAGTTCAGGAAAAATACTTTATGTATAACTTAAGTCTTTGCAATTTTTTTTTTTTTTTTTTTTTTTGGATAGAGTCTCGCTGTTTCTCAGACTAGAGTAGCTCACAGCAATCTCCAACTCCTAGGTTCAAGTGATTCTCTGGCCTCAGCCTCTTGAGGAGCTGGGACTTTCAGGCACCTGCCACAATGCCCAGCTAATTGTTCTATTTTTAGTAGAGAAAAGGTTCTCACTCTTTCTCAGGCTGGTCTTGAACTCCTGAGCTCAGGGAATCCTCCCACTTCTACCTCCCAGAGTGCTGGTTATAGGCTGTGAACCACTACACCTGGCCTGCAATTTTTTTTTTTTTTTTTTTTAACTAGGTGATATCTCTTACCAGAAAAATGCTGAATAACTTAGGAAACTTTAAAAATTGTGAACATGACTCCAAAATATAGCACTATCATAACTGTATTAGACTTTAATGTGTCTTAATAGTAATGTTCAAAATTGCCAAAAGCTTAGTTATATAAACTCAAAATAATTCTCTTGATCATTCTGAGCCTTAGTTTTCACATTTCCTTAGGAAAGCTCAGGTCTCTGAGATAGACCTGGACATGACTCCCAGGCACCTTCACTTTTCAAGAGAAATCCAACCTCCCTAAATCTGTTTCTTCAGAAAACCTGCCCTGGAGTCCCTGTCTCAGGCTTACTTTAAGGACTAACCAATTGATCGCTGGATCCTTGCACACTGGCCAGCAGTTGAGGACCTACCATTCCCATTCTAATTTGTGAAAACTTTAACAATAAAAACCTTGGTCTGAAAAGTTTTGGTCTCTCCTTCACCTCCAAACTTACCTTCCTGTTCAGGGAGGTTTCTGATTGCTCTTTTTGCATTATTTCCCCTCGTGTCTATCTGATTCTTTTTAATGGCAAGTGTATCACAGAGGAACATAAAATTATCAAACATTGTGATTTTGTTTTCTTTCCATTTATTCACATTTTATGGATTCTTACACTTCCTCAATAGGAGCATTCAAAAACTAATACAAATTGAGATTATATTTTGACAATTCAAGTATTTTAGTTTTAGAAAACAATTTCCTATTTAAAATAAAAACAATTTGTCCATTTGATTGCTAAGTTTTACAATTGTGTCTGCATCAAATGGAGAGTCGTCCTTACTGTCCTTGCCATGATTGCTACTGGGCGAGAGCACACAGTGGCCTTGTGTTCAGAATGCTAGATTGGGAGAGACCAGTTCTGACGAGCTGTCCCCAAGCAGCACATTACAGGACAAATCAGTTAATGTCCACCTCCAGAAAGAGAAGACTTGGGGGTTTAGGAGTTTGCAAAATCTTCACATCTACCGTGCTTGCATTTTGATTATTCTGAAATATGAGAGTAACTGACAAATGCTCAAAAACTTGTTTAACTTCTACCAAAAAGAATTTAGAATTTTTTTCCTCTACCCCAGAATAGGTAGACTTTTTTTGGCATGCAGCATATAAAAAATGTGATGTAGAATTGAAACTGTAAAACATAACAGTCCTTGTATGAACGGTCAGACTCGCCCTTCCACAGAAACACAACCTCAACGTTAAAAACCAACATGTTTTCAGTCTGTTACTCTAATAGCAAAGACACTAGACAAAGTTTTTGCTTACTGGGAATGTGCAAAAGGATGAGATGGAGCTGTTAGTTTTAAACAAGGCCCCTGGGAGACTTAGAATTTGTCAAGATGCAAAGTAGAATTAAAAACAAAATACACATCTCACTTTAGGCCACATATATCATACAATTTATGAGTTTTCAAACTCAAGACGAAAATTTCAGTCCACATTAAACACTTTTAATTCCTAACATTTTTGTTAAAAACAAATCAAACTAAAAGAACCCATCAGTCAGAATTAGCTGTTAACATAGTGGGGAAAAATAGGTTAAGCCCTCTGGGGGCCTCTTCCCCCAAGCAAGGAGTCATATTTTATAATATCCACACATTCTCAAGGCTTTTTTACACTAACATAATTAAAATGGAGATCAAGAAGTTCCTAAAATATAAAAGAATGATTTCATGAAAATACCCCATTTTGAGTTATGGTACACATATCACATTTTCCCCTGTAATTTTCACTTTAACAGCGATAGTCTTAGCAGCAAAAATCTGCTGGGAATGTAGGAAAAAAGGAAGCCACACACATCCACTAACTTAAAAATACATGAACAATTTCTATGAGAAAGGAAGATTAAAGGGTAATCCAACCATGACCTCTGCATGCCATTTTTGGTAAACATCCCACTGCGTGCAGATGCTGACAGAATACTGCACTGACACGGGGGGGGGGGGGGTTCCTGAAGGTGCCTAGGAGTTCACGACCCGCTGCACCCTGGGAGCACGTGTGGCTGCCCTGCAATGAACATCTGCTCCCCCCATTTCCTCTTCATCTTTCAAAAGTTGGATAAACCTGATGTAAATGGGGTACAACCACTTGCTTGCTATAAATCATCTGTAATAAAAACTTACATTCTCAATTCTAAAAAGTAAAAATAATTGTCACTTCCTTCCAAGGTAGGATACAGGTAAAGTCTGACTGCCTCCCATAACAGCGCAAAGTACACTTCTCTGCACATGTGGACCCCAAGTCTCGGCATGTGTTCACAGTGGCCAAATCCTGATGAGAATCAATCAAAAGTACAAAAATCTCATGATAAACGGCCCAAATACCACACCTAAGAACTTACGAGTTAACCATATTAGACCATAAAACTGACTCCCATTTTATGCCTAAAGATTGTATAAGATTGCATGTAGTTTTAAAAAAGCAAATGTACCATCCACAATTATTCTGATTATTCTTTTCCAAGTCAGAACATATTATACATTGAAGATCGGAATATGCAAGTGTGAGCCCTTGGGCCCCAAACCTGAGCCTTTAAATAAGATAAGCTAGTTACCAGTTTTAATGATTCATGAGGAATGAAAACAATTTTAACATTGCATTCTGCATCTGATTCATGCCCAGTCTTCCAAGAATGCTAATGGTAGTTACCTGATTGCTCTGGAGAAGTGACAGGGCTATGCTCATGCGTAACCGTGTCTCCCTTCCAAATGGACATAGTGAACAGCTCATTTGTAAAAAAGTAAATGGATATTCCAGATATCAAAGTTATAATACACTGCTGTCTAAAGTTAAAGGCAAGATTTACACACTCAATTTTCTCTTCAGTACCTTATTACGTTTCCTAGTGAACTCACACGGCTCGTGTGTAACCCAAGTTCCTATGTACTTCTCTTAACAAGCAGTTTTTATATCCATAGGGGTCCTGATGATACAAAGACTACAAGCATCTTATCTTCATTTCCTAATATGGTTTCACTTTGACTTAACTTTTCATAAGGGTTTAAGCAACCAAATTTGTGCTTTAAAAACCTATTCCTGGCAAGTCCCCCCTCTATGGTAGGGGGACAAAAAAGTAACAGCACCTCATGAATAGAAACTACAGACCCACATCTACAAAACTTAGAAACTTTTCAACAAGCTATTCATTTCCTTTTAAAATGAAAAAACAGTTCCTGAATTACAGTAAAGCAGCCCATAGGGTTAAAGGCCAATGTCTGCAAACAAGAGACTAAAGACTAATGGTGAAGGCGGACACCTAGTACTCACGTTTCAGCTTAAACATAACACTTAATAAATCAAAGTACACACATCTGTCACGGCATGGCAGCATGGTTCATTTGGTAAGATGCTCATCTCACAAACTGGTCAAGCCCACAGGAGAGGAGACTCCGCCGGCAAGTTCTTTCTGGATGCAGCTTGAATGTGGCCATTTGACAGCCTCTCCAGTGGTGGCAACAGGCCGGATAACCCACGGGTCAGAAGAGCCTTTGGGAAAGCTGATCAATACCCTGATTTCAGTCCTTTAAGAAATCACGTATGGTTAGTTTAATAAACAAATGACATTAAAAAATCTTCCAAAAAATTTCATTCAAATATATTTTACACTTTAACAGTTCTTAAGAAGGGAGAATACAGTTTCTTGACACTTAATATTTAAAGGTTTTATTGGCCATATCAATCTTCCTCACAAAAGTTTTAAGTTATCTTTAAGTTCTTAGAATGTCAAAGTAAGAAGAGAAGAAAAACTAAGTTTAGGGGTGGTGGGGAAGCAGCAACTTGGCAACGATCCTCCGCTGACTTCACGAGCTCAGGCATCCTTTTTCTCCAGTAGAATTTTGTGCAACTCGTCTGCGTCCTCGCTGGTTTTTACCCTGATTAACATGGTAACTGGGACACTGGCGTTCTTCTCATCAATTGGTGGATTTGGAACACAGACAATAAGTACGTTATTTTTTCCTGTTCGGGTACATGGCATATTGGGTGGAATCAGAACATTCAGCAAAATGTTGCCTGCATTTAAACAAAGGAAAAATATATACTGAAGTTATATCAACTATTGCTCTGTAAAAGGAGCCTACAATATGCTAAAATCATTAAATACTGAAGAAACTTACACTTAATCTAAAATTTGGAGCCACTGAGAATGTCACAAAGTCAAGCACTTGTTCCCTAACAGATGCCAACAGCGTTGCTGATGGGACTGTGAGACCTGTGGCAGGCCTCTGCCCCACTTCCTGGCTGCACACAGCCTCCCTCAGAACCGCCAGCCCTCTGAACACTACGTTGTCACACAGGAGGATGAATGCATTGGCACACCCCAGTCTTCACTGGGTCACACAAACACAGGACAAACAGTGGGAACAGAAACCACACCTGTCACAGGGGCAAACACAGCTCACTGGGCAAGAGTAACGTTACTCTGATAGTATCACAAATTGGTCAAGCCCATGTCCTAGGAGCTTCCTTCTGCCACACAGACTGGTGTACACTACTGACCACTCCCTCTCAGGACTGCCCCTCCTTGCCCATACTGTGGACTGTCTTAAGGGCAAAATTGGGGTAGGGTAGGGGTTGGACAGCAAAACCTTAGTGATTACTTCTTACATGTTGCCTAAAAAAGGATTCCTTTAAATGGTTAATTCCCCTTGGGACACTTGTTAAACAATCCAATTTACCTATCAGTCCTTAGTCACACTTCTATTACAAAAGAAAAACCACTTAGTTATAGCTCTTAACAAACCTATATTTTCAGCAGATGCCTATGGCTCAGTGGGTAGGCTGCTGGCCCCATATACCGAGGATGGAGGGTTCGAACCTGGCCCCGGCCAGCTAAAACAGCAATGAGAATTGCAACAACAACAAAAAAGCTGGGTTTTATGGCAGGTGCCTGTAGTCCCAGCTACTTGGGAAGCTGAGGCAAGAGAATGGCTTAAACCCGAGAGTTGGAGGTTTACGTGAGCTGTGACATCATGGCACTCTACTGAGGGCAATGAAGTGAGACTCTGTCTCAAAAACAAAAACAAAAAAACCCTACATTTTCTTTTTTGGCTGCTCTTGAACCTGTGAGTTCAATCTACCTGCCTGGGCCTCCCGGAGTGCTGAGCTACCACGCCCAGCCAACTTAACTTTTTCTTACACAATGTTTTCCTGGTACTTGAAACTAAATCTGTGGTAAATACAGGATGAATTCTGGCCTGAAGTCAACAAGATAAAGGCTTATATATATATGATTATGATAACTTAGAGCCACTTGAAAAAAAAAACAAAAGGTACCCACCTAAATTGGTGTCTGCCCGGACCAAAAGCTGTGTCTTCTGGTTTGCTGTAGGTTTTAAATGCAGAGTACCTACACCTTTCTCTTTAAATTCATTGTCTTTCTTGTAAAATAGTTTACACCTATGTGAAAAATGATAGGTAAGGTCAGGTATTCAATTATAAACAGTCACAGTGTCCTAGAAACCACTCTCCACACTTGTGTGGAGAATGTGCATTAATAAAAGGAAAGCACAGGGAGCACCAGGGTAAATCTGCTACTGATCCAAACAGATCTGGTCTGGGCTAAAACCAGATAAGAAGTCTACTTAGATTTTGTAGAATCCCACCCCATTTTTTCAAATTAAAATGGCTGGCTGCATGAAACTATTTATAACACTTTCTGAAACTGCCTTTTCTCCAGTCGAAAGTCACAGCTGAACACCTCTCCAGCTCTGCTCCTATTATGGCCTTGAGCTTAAGAAAAGGAACAAACAGAGTAAACATTTGCATCTTCCCCCACCTCAATTTTTTTCCTATTTCTTATTTTAAAAATTCTCCTAAAGGCTCCTTCAATTTTTGATTGCTCAAGATGTTGAGGCTTGGTGCCTGTGGCTCAAGTGGCTAAGGCGCCAGCCACATACACCTAATGTGGTGGGTTCGAATCCAGCCTGGGCCCACCAAACAACAATGACGGCTGCAACCAAAAAATAGCCGGGTGTTGTGGTAGGTGCCTGTGGTCCCAGCTACTTGGGAGGCAGAGGCAGGAGACTCGCTCGAGCCCAGGAGTTGGAGGTTGCTGTGAGCTGTGATGCCACAGCACTCTACCCAGGGGGACAGCTTGAGGCTCTGTCTCAAAAAAAAAAAAAGATGTTGAAATAAATTTGGATAACATTCTTAGGCAGGGCCTAACTAATGCTGAAGTAATTAAATGTCTTCCCAGACTCTCATGCTGTACAATCTTCTTAGTTATTAAATACAAAACTGCTGTCTGCTCATCTGATTTATTATAAGTATAAAAAAACCTCCTCAAGTCAAAGAAAGGCCTTTATATCTTCCAAGTTATTCAATTTGAAAACAAGCAAAAGAGGCCCAAGCATGGTAGCTCAAGCCTATAATCCTAGCACTCCAGGAGGCTGATGCAGGAGACCAGCTTGAGAAAGAATGAGACGCTATCTGTTCAAAAATACAAAAACTAGCCAGGTGCTGTGGCACACGCTTGTAGTCCCAGCTCCTTGGAAGGCTGAGGCAGGAGGATCACTTGAATCCAGGAGTTTAAGGTTGCTGTGAGCTATGATAGCACCATTGCACTCTACCCAGGACAGAGAGAGACCCTGTCCCCCCAAAATAAATAAATAAAAAATAAATAAATAAAAAGGAATTGTTGGCCTCTTCTAAAAATTCTCAAAATACAATAGCACCTAGGAACCCCACAGGATATAATGACTTGTTATATGCTAAACTGCTGATTCATTATTCTGAATGAAATTTTTGAATTAAAAAATATCTTGAAAGCTTCTGAAATGGCACAAATGCTTTTCAGCAAATATCTTTGTTAAAAGTAATCTCTAATTGAGAGGAAGATAATTCAAGTTTGCCTTTGCATTTTCTTCTGAAGCAACAGCTCTCATTTAAAAACAAATACAAAACAAAAAAACCAAAATAGCCCTCATTATTGAAGGAAAGATAACGTTTATACATCCTTAGCAAGAAGGAATGGTTACTGTATATAACTTTTTAGCTGTGGAAAAATCTAGAAAGGCCAAGCGAGTCTCCAGAAAGGGATTAGAGATGCCCCCAGATTAAGAGACAAAACCTGAAATCAGCAACCAGGTGACTTTCTTTGCAGGGGAAGGATAAGGGGAAGACAGGAAGGAGAAAAAGAAAGGATGATCTCAGATGAGGGAAAATCACAGAGAAGCCTGTCTCTAAAACACTTGAAGATGCTAAAATCACAAGACAGACTGAGATATGCCAGTAAGAAATTTCTAAAATTTGTTTTTAAATAAACCAGGCCAAGAATTCTTCCCTGTTTGACTTCAGAGCAGGCACAGCTTGACCCAGGGACTGGACATTCCACGAGGACCATGGTCCGGAAGCATCCCACTACGTCTCCCAGACAGATCTGCCAAGTGAATCCTATCCATTACTACTTACTTTTTGGAGTAAAAAGCATCTTCTTCTTTTACTTCAGTAACTACTACTTTGGGTGGCTCATCATTCTCTTCTTCATCTCCACCTTGTACAAAAATGATACAAACTCCGTAAGATTCAAATCAAGAGCTTGAAAAAGTGATAGAAGTTTGTTACCTACCATCCTAAACCTCAACCTGAATATTCCATGGGAGTGGATACAGAGTAAAAACACACACCTAATTTTTTGTGGGGGGACGGGCATTGGCTGGATTTTAATTTTGTGAAAACTAAGAATCTTTTTTTTTTTTTGAGACAGAGCCTCAAGCTATCCCCTTGGGCAGAGTGCCATGGCATCGCAGCTCACAGCAACCTCCAACTCCTGGGCTCAAGTGAGTATCCTGCCTCAGCCTCCCAAGTAGCTGGGACCACAGGCGCCCGCCACAACACCTGGCTATTTTTTGGTTGCAGCTATCATTGTTGTTTTGGCGGGCCCAGGCTGGATTCAAACCCACCACCTTACGTGTATGTGGCTGGTGCCTTAGCCACTTGAGGCACAGGTGCCGAGCCTAAGAATCATTTTTAATGGCAACATAATTCACAATTCTAAAATAACTTCTGATTTTTTAGAAAGCCCTAGAATGAAAACATATACACACGGTATAACACTTACAGAAAAATAATTGTCCAGCTCTCAAATCATTTATATTCAGATGACCCACAGAAGGACTTTTAATACCTTTATCCCCAAATGTTCCTACGACCATATCCACATCATCTCCAGCAATAACCAATCAGCAATGGCCAAAGATAGGGAAAACACTTTTTTTGCAGGGCACACTGTCAGAGAAATCATTCCAAAGTCACATGTGAATAGCTAATTTAAGTTCTGTATGAACTGCCACGTATTTCACTGCTCTGAAACCAAAGGTATCTCCAACTGACCACCTGACGTGAACACAGGAGATCTAAGGTACCGCTAAGGCATTGCTGCCACACTAGAGAAAAAAATTTTTTCCCTTGGGGCCAATGTTTTATTAGGTCAAGAGTCATAGCACATAGATGAAGCCTCCAGCTCAAAACCAGCTTAGGTTAAATACCACTCACAGGGTAACTCATGTGTTAAATGCAAATATAAAGGATCCTTTTAAACAGAAAGCTGCGTAAAACTCACACTGCAGCTCCAGACTCCTGGGCTCAAGTGATTCCTCTGCGTCAGTTCAGTTCCAGTCCCAGTAGCTGGGACTACAGGCATATGCCACCATACCCAACTTTTTTTTTTTCCCCAAGAGATGGGGTCTTCTTGCCCAGGCTAGTCCTCAACTCAAGCAAACCTCCCAAACAAGCCTCTCAGAGTATTGGGATAAAAGACATGAGCCACTGCCACTGTGCCTGGTCTCAAAAAATTTTAATTCATTATTTCTTTAATATATCAAAGCCATGTATTTGATACTTTTCAAAAAAAAAAGTGTAAGATATTTCCATATTCTTGGGACACCTGTAGTTCAATGGTTAGGACACTAGCCACATGCTCTAGGGCAGGTGGGTTCAATCCCGGCCTGGGCCTGCTAAACAAACAAAAAAGGCTTGGTGCCTGTAGCTCAAGCGGCTAGGGCGCCAGCCACATACACCAGAGCTGGAAGGTTCGAATCCAGCCTAGGCCTGCCAAACAACGACAACTACAACGAAAAAATAGCTGGGTGTTGTGGCAGGCGCCTGTAGTCCCAGCTACTTGGCAGGCTGAGACAAGAGAATTGCTTAAGCCCAGGAGCTGGGGGTTGCTGTGAGCTATGATGTCACAGCACTTTACTCAGGGTGACAGCTTGAGGCTCTGTCTCAAAAAAAAAAAAAAAAAGATGTTTCCACATTCTTCATTTTATGTTTAAGGTTCATAATTGTTCTAACAACTCTACACAATAATAGATTATTTCATTTTACTAGTAAGGAAACTTGAGATATAGGCTAATCAGTTCCATTCAAGATCACACTGACGGTTAGGGTGATGAGTGACAGTATGAATCCAGACCCAGCCCAGGTCAAGTCCAGCTTTTCCCACCAAACATAAAGATCCCAGGAACCCGCACAACCATTTACCTTTGCACTCGTTGCCTCCACCTTCTGCCTGGCTCACCAGTGTCTTAGTGGGAAGTGGTGAAGAACCTAGTTTACTCTGGGAAGTATCTTTGCCAAATAAAGGGGCATTTCCAGAGGAAAATGAAAATCCAGCCAGGGGGCCAGAGCTTAATGAGCCCAAAACAGAGCTATCAATTTTCTTGCCAAAATTAAATGAGGCACTTGTTGCTCCTAGTGATGGGTCCGTCTTCTTCTCAGAAGTAGCCTCAGTCTTCTTTTCAGGTGTATCTTCAGTTTTGTTGCCGTGGAACAAAAACTCTGACTCTTTCTGGAGTTTTGCTGAGCCGAGCGGGGAAGGAGACTGCACGTCGACCACGGTCTTGTTAGCTTCGCTCTGAGCAGTACCACTGGCGCTGCTCCCGTGCTGCTGCTCGATACTCGCTAAGTATTTCTCGTAGTCTTTAAAGATGGGTGTCAGGTCGCAGAGCGGGTTCACGTTCACATGCTTCGCGATCCAGTCCCGGACGGAGCAGTTCAAGGCAGCCAGCTGGTTGTTATAGGCATTCCTGACATAGGCTTTACTAGAGGCCAGGCCAGAGGAGGAGGGCTGCTGACTATCGCCATTAGTTCTGGGATTTGAAATCTTTTTATCAACCAACATGGTAGGGCCATTTGCAGTAACAGACTCTATAAGAAAAAGATTGAAGAATTTATCTATAGAAATTAATCTGATTAAGCCATTTAGATTTTTAGATCACTCTGTCTTTACATTTTCTGCTTCTATGCTCAGCACCTGTAGCTCAGAGGGTAGGGCACAGACCACATACACCAGGGCTGGTGGGTTCAAACCCAGCCTGGGCCTGATAAACAACAATGACAACTACAACAAAAAAATAGCCAGGCATTGTGGCGGGCACCTGTGGACCCAGCTACTTGGGAGGCTGAGGCAAAAGAATTGGAGGTTGCTGTGAACTGTGATGCCACGGCACTCTACCAAGGGCGACATAGTGAGACTCTGTCTCAAAAAGGAAAAAAAAAAAAGTCTT